CTGTCTTTGTTTGAAGAGGAAAAAGATTGTATCATTACTACAGTATTTTCATCTTCTATTTTTATTTATTTTTTAATTTTGAAGTAATTGGTAGAAAATGGCAAAATCAAAGCATTGAGGTATTGAATGAGGTGATGGCATGAATTGAAATTTTATTCAAAGGAGGCTACTCTCAAGGACAAATTGTCAAGAAGTTGAAGATTTCATTACAGAGGCAGTTAGAAACTGGTACAATATTGAGAAAAAAGAGCTGAAGCACCAAAAGTGACAACTGTTGTTGAAGATAATCACTTGATTATCAAGAGCAAAAGAAATTGAAAACTGCAGCAGAGTTGACAGCTGTCCTTTTGACAGCAACCAGTGTCGCTCTCAACTATGAAAAATCGACTTAGATCAAATGGGCTCAGTGGGTACATAGCCATCAAGAAACCCCTGTTACAGGAGGTCTATAAACAGAAAAGACTGTTATAGGCTAAAAAGCATAAGAACGAGACATTGAAAGAGCAGCAAAATATATTGTGTACAGACTAGTCCAAATTAGAACATTTTGGTAGTAAGTTGGAAGAATTATTTTCCACACTCCAAACTCTCTCACACAGGCAGGATGTGGTGAGTCTCTGACTGCTCTATTGCTACTACCATTTAAAGTTCTTGAATGAAGTGCATTTCCTGGTTCCAGCAATCAGAACTTCATGGCTAGGACCAACCATGCTACTTAAATAATAGCAAACTACCCACATTCCCTCTGTATTTCATTTGCGAGAAGTAAATTCCACTCAGACAGCCATTTCCTATGAACCACTGCCCTGTGGAACAGAATCACTAGAGGATGTTTACCTAATCACTACAATGTTAATCTGATCAAGTCTAGAGTCAACTGTTGTCTTCTGATTATATCCATACCCCTTAACATAACCCTCTACCTTGAGTGGCCCCCAATAGGACAACAATCCAAAACACTCTTTTAAATTATGCCAAAATTACCTTGAGTCAAAAAAAAAGGAATAAAATTTTGGAAATTATGTCTTGGCTGCTTCAGTCTCCTGACCTCTCTCTCATTGAATTATATTGGGATGAATAGGATAGGAGAGTTCAAAGAGAATGACCAAAAAGTGACAGTGAGTTTTTTCAGTGCTTGAAGAATGCTTGGGAGGATCTGCTATCTAATTTTTCAAAAATGTTTGAAAGAATGCCAAGAATTTGTAAATCAGTAATTAAGGCAGGTGGTGGTTTTATTGATGAAAACAAAATATGATGCTGTTGTATGATAATTTTTTATAGCTAAGTGATTATTTTTGTCAGAATAAAAGCAAATATACTGTAGTTACTGAAATTTTATCTTCTACTTCAAAAAAATACAAAAGTATCTCATTTTAAGGTGTTTTTTTAAAGAAATGCAGGGTGGCCCCAAACATTTTAACTGTGGTGTATATATAATACTCATTGATCTTTATTTTTTAATTTCAATTATATAAAGATTATCAAGTGTTTTATGAATGATACAATTTCAAAATTGAAAAAAGATATTGTACAGTTTTTGAATGATGGGAATGCAATGTATGAAATTGCAAAAGAAATCTGAACTGAGATCAGAGAACAATCAAAAAATAAATTGGCAATACTGACAAGATATGATCAAGAAAAAAGGAGTTTTGAGAATATCACAAAAAGAGATTTGAGAAAAAGTAAAAAGAAAAGTGAACTGAGTAGCAAGAAAAAACTTGAAGAAGCTGGTTTTGCAACTTTCAAACAAAATATCGAAAACATTGGCTAAAGGCATGAAAGCATCTATCTTTAAGCAAGCATCACAAAGAGAAAAATCTAAATATCTAAGTTGGGTGAAGAAATACATGAAAACTGATTTCTCAACTTTTATTGATGAATATAGAGCTACATTGTATGGAACTGATGACTGGGTTATGGGTTGATGCCTTTCATGGAAATAGCTGACCAAAATAACTTAAAAGATAGTACTGGAGGTGGTAAAGCATTTTGTGCTAGTATTGCAGATAGTAAAATTAGAGGTTCCTTCAAATTTGAGGAGAGTATGAAGACAAATGCAGAGAATTATCATAATTTCTTCAAAAAAATGTTTATTGAGTGATGGAGTTCACAACCAAAATGTGATAAAATATATATTTATAAAATAAAATACTCTTTCACATTTTTACATTCTGAAAAACTTTCCCAACTTGCCAAAAAAGTTTCAAAGACAACAGTTAATGGAATGACCTATAACCTCTTTAGATATTAATCCAACAGAAAACTTATAGCCCATCATTCAAAGAGACCAATATGAGAAAAGAAAACAATATTCAAACAACAATCTCTTGGAAGCAATACAGACTGTTTCAAATAATGTTAAAGTTGAAAAAAATAGGTAAATTAATACAATGAGGCATTATTGTTGGCTGTAGAATATAAAGGAGATTATATTAACATCTAAAATAATAATTTATGACAAGCAAATACATGTTTCTTAGCCTGCTACTCATTGTCTGTATGATAAATCTTATAGCCATAATATTCTTATTACCAATATTTTTTCTTAGGATATATAAGTTTAAACTCACATGATATAGTGACTTATTATAAGTTTAACCACACAATACATTGATCATATACATATATTAGTTTGGTTAATAACAATTCTACTTTAAAATGATAATTTACATAATAAAATATATAACTTAAATATAAAAAACAGAGTATATCAATAGATAAGTACAGAGTGAAAGAATATAAGAACATACATACATATATATATATATATATATATATATATATATATATGTAGATACATACATATGCATGCTCTAATATTTTCTATACTTCTTACTCTTTGGCTGTCAAAACACATTCAGTCATCCATAAAGCCATAAAACTGTTGACATTCACTGATGGAGCATTTGTGGAAGTGTAAAAAGGAGAGGCAATCAAGAAAGAGAGAAAAAAAGCAAGAACAAGAAAAAAAAGAAGGAGGTGACTTTAAAGAACACAGCCACAATCACCATGGTGAGAAAAAGGTCAACAATTGATTAAGAAAGGAAAGAATATAATATGTAAAACTTTTAAATGAGGAATTAAAACAACAAACTTACTGTTTGATATCTTTATAGACTATTTAATAAATTAAACTATTTAAGCTTTTTTTTCTGTATACCATGTCCCTTCAGGGTGTGGGCAATCATGGTTTTCCACAACTTCCCGTCCTTTGTGGCTCTTAGCAATGTTTGTCTTTTTGCTATCTCTGTTAATTCCTGTTTTGCCAACCATTTACACAAGATACTTTATTTTCTGATTTTCTCTGTCTATTGCTTTTGCCATAGAAGAAAGGATCAAAATAGTGAAATAGTAAGTAAATATTAATTTGGATTCCACAATGGATATGGAGAAAATTGCTTCCAGTGGTGCACAGCAAATGACCAAGTAATAACCAACACTTGGTTTCAAGAATACCCAAGACTCTTGTGTACATGGGAAACCCCAGGAGAGGATAGTGATTTTCCAAGCATAGCTTAGATGTGACACAAGGCCGAAATTAGGGGGCACCCAGTGAGAATCGAACTCACTACTCAGCCGTAATTGTTCTAGCGAGACAAGCTTGCTAACCATTACACCACCTCGAGGTGCCCACCCCAGGAGAGAATATAATGCTATATTATTATGTAACGAAATAATAAGATGTGTTTTGATTGAATATTGTTCCACTAGAAATAATAAAATTCTGTTATGTTTAGTTCGGAACAAAATTATCTTTTCTAAAAATTGATAGATATGCAAAAGTATGATATTGATATAAAAGTATATATATCGATTTTGGAAATATTGATAGATATGGATCAAAAGTTTTAAGACATTTTTCAATTTGTGGTGTTGGAACACATGATTTCCTTTCACATATGACTGGAATTTATGAAATATCAGATCATTACAAAAATTTGTGCTCAATTTTCCTTGTTGATATAAAACAACCCCAGCTTAATATCAGTGTTTGGTGCTGATTTCTGGTGTATTCTACATTGAAATCTTACATCATTCAATTCTGAAACTTTGTTGAATGTTATGAGTTTGTCCACAAATGAATACTTTAAAGATTGAAGATTAAAAGTAGCCCTTTTGCCATATAATGCTCTATGAATTTCAGAAAGGAGTAAACGCTAGAACTGCGACAAAAAACATTTGGAAGGTTTATTTGTATCATGCTTTGGCAGATTTTGTCAAACAATCAACCATGCTCCAGATAACTTTCTGGTCATTGAGGAAGATGCTCTGCTTGCCATTATGGAGAAAAAACTTTTGACAGAAGAGATTGTTAATAGTTTTATAATAAAAAAAATCTTGTTGAGACTTGGGACAACTCATACTATCGAAGGCAAAACACAACAACAACAACAACAATAATAATAATAATAATAATAATAATAAAATAATATTAATAATAATGATGATAATGATGATAATGGTGAAAAAATTTATCAAAATTTTTTTTTTCTTTTTTCAGGAGATGGTAAAATTGGAAAAAGTTATATTTAAAAAAGACATTAAATAGGCATTGAAAAGTCAAGTTCAAACTGTAAAGAATAAAAGGAAGATATTTTAACATACATTTTTAATATTTCTGCTTTTCAAATTTTTCATATCTCATTTGACTGGGAAAATTGACCAAACAGATTTTTATTCGACATGAGGACTATTTCTGATTGAAAATGTATTGGTCTTTTTTTTTACATTTTCCATTCTGTCTTAATAAATATTAAACAAGTGCTAAAAAAGTTTTATAAACGTTCCTGTAAAAAAAAAAAAAAAAAATTAATTAATAATCTCCCTTTACATGTAATAATAAATTATGATGATATTAATAATCATATTAAAAATAATTTTTTTTATTCAAATATTAATTCAAGCTAATATCTCAAAGGATTCAACTGGTTTTGCATTAAGTCTTGTAAGAGAATAGAACAAGCCAAAATAGATGAAATATGGAGACCAAAACAACAATGAAAAAAAAAAAAAGAAACAATGAAGCTGACGATGATGATGATGATGATGATGATGATGATGATGATGTTGGTGCTAATGATGATGATTTCTCTTTTTTTTTCACTCTTTATTTCCTTTTCCCCTTGAACCTGGGTATCTTGAGTAAATCTGTACAGTTAGTAAGGGCACTACTTTGCCAACAACTTTCTAGACTTGTAGAATGATTTGAGCCAAAATAAGTGGGTAGCAGTGACTGTGGCCGAGGGTGGGGTAGTGACAGTGGATAGGGAGCAGACCTGATTGCTCTTTTCTTTCCTTGTTTTTCTCTCTTAACTTTTCTTTCCTTTTCCCCCATTGTTTTCTCTTTCTTTTCTTTGCCTTTTAAACTGTTTTTCAATTTCTATTGTTTTTTCTCCCCACCCCACCAAGTATCCAACCTACCTGTCTGCTTAGCACTTTATTCTTCTTCTGTGATTTCTTCTTCTTCTTCTTCTTCTTCTTCTTCTTCTTCTTCAATTTTGCCTTCTACATCGTTTTTCTTCCTCCATTTTTTACCTTTTCCAAAAAAATAATTGCCATTCTTTCTTTCTTTTATGTTTTTTATCTCATATATAATTGTTCTTCATTGGGTCAGTTTTTTTTCTTTTTTTATAATTCTTTGTCCTTCGTTGACAGATTTTTTTTCTTTTATTCTCTTGTTTGTTATTTTCTTCCATTCTTTATTTTCTTTCTTTTTACTTCACCAAACTGTACTGATGCCAAATCATCCAAAAGCCAAAAATGAAAATAAGTTACAAGATTTTTCTGGGCACGGTCCCCATTCCTGAACTGTGACCCCAAAGGTAGCAGTCAGGCTGAGGGGTGGTAGACACAATAATCACTCAAGAGCGGTGATTTGGGCTTGAAGAGAAGAAAGTGGTGAAACCACAAGTCTTTGCCCTCATGCCTCTAGGTCAAGAAAATGGAGAACCCACTTTTGACTAGAAGAGAATTTGCCAAAATTTTAAGGAAAGCAAATGTTTGTTCTGCACCCAAGGCAAGTTTACTGCTGTTGTTGATGCATACAAGTGTTGTTATCTTTATAAGAATACATCACATTTTCAACCTTCTTTTGATTGTCCTTTTTTCATTCTCTCTTGCAATTCATCTGAATATGTTGTGAAAATTAAACCAAAGGCTTGAAAAGAACTGTATATCAGTGGACAGGTCTAAATTGGTATGTTAATATAGATAAGAGTAATGAAATCATTTAATTATTTGGAAGATATCACTGTTGAATTTAAAATATTTTAACTATAATTTCAATGTTGTATGATTTATAAACTATAATCTTACTAAGATGCAAGAAAGGACAATAAAAGAACTTTTTTCAGGAAGACAGATGATGATTGGCAGTTCATTTAAATTTTTGAAGAATGTATATGGTAGAGAAGCAAGAAGCCAGAAGAGATTTCTACAGGTGAGAAATGTGAGAAAAGGAAATATTAGAATAGAACATACTGTTGTATCTAGATAGTTCAATAGTAAAACAGTGAAACCTAGTTGCCAATCTAGTAGTACACTTAAATTCATGCAATTGTGGCATCAAGGAGGGAAAATCATCAGAAAAATTGCCATAAAAAATATCTGTAAAAAAGACAGAAGGAAGCCACATCACAATAGTCAGAAAATGGTTGAAGTCAATGATAATATATTGATTTTACTACCTTACTATTCACAGATTCAATAATGATTTTGCTATTAAAAAAAGGGCTATATCATTCAATAACAATTAATAAACCTAGCATTTCAAAATACAGTAGAATCCCTTATATCCAAAATCTTTCATATCCAGAGTACCTCATAAACAGAATGCCTCATATCTGGAGTGCCTCATATCTGGAGTGCCTCATATCTTGAATCATGCATATTCAGACATGATTTTGAGGTGTATATTTGAACTATGTGGGTGATATGTAACTGATTTGAAATTTCTGTTTTTCACGAAATTTACTTTGGATAATTGCTTACGCTTATCTCTAATGGCTTGTATTGGCTCAAAAGATGATGGGAATAAGAATAAAGGATGCAACAAGATAGCAATGATATGCATGATTGTGATGAAACCTGGACTGAAATTGAAAAAGCTATTGAAAAGGTTGTCAGTTTTATGGAAAGAAAGCCAGTATTCAGCTATGATGATTACAATAATGCAAACAGAGTTGGAAAGTGTCTTTTATTTAAAAAATTTCAAGAACAAAAGCAAAACAAAATGGGGAAAAAGTTGAGAATGACATTAGAAGAGAAAGAATCATCATGAAACAGCAATTAAAAAAAATTAGTGTTACAGTATTTGTTTTGCATACAGGGCATACTTAATTTAATGAATTTTCATTAACATTACATAATTTATTTCTTTTTCCTTAAAATCAATTCTATTATATTTCACTCACCATTAGCTTATTTTGTTTACTATAAAACATTGAAAATAGATGTTAAACATGATTTCACTTCTTTTATTTTAATCTAAATATAACCCTTCATATCTAGACTTTGTAACTAATTCCTCATATCTGGAAGGCCTTTTTAGTCTAGATCTCAGGGATTCTACTGTACCAATAAAGTGTTCTGAACCAATGTTGGCCAAATTATTAGAATATACTTGCCAAATCCCGTATTTACTGAAAGATAACTTTAAACTTTTAAAATTTCCAGCCATTTCTTTACAAAATGTTGCAACCAAAAAAGACTGGCAGATCAAAATAAGAGAAATAGTTTAAAAAATATATTATCTTTCATGAAGCACTTGAAAGTAAGAAACAATTGTATTTTAGCAAATATATATTAAATTATGTAGTAGAGAAGTTACTATTTAAAGCTACAAATATAATTTCTTTTCAGTGTTACATACCATATCTGATGGCATACAAGCCTCCAACCACCACTGCTACATATATTATTACACTAAACTCATAAAGAGAAAATCAAAAAGAGACATTTCAAAATTCTGAGACACACTATGATGAAAGAAGGCTTGAAAAATTTAATACTCACAGGAGTAACTTACTTATGAGCCTACATAAATAGTTGGCAGAGAAGGAATGCAGAGGAATGGTTGACTCTTAGGAGAACAGGAAATTGTCAGAAGTCAAGATTGCCCATGTCCTGAAGGGACATGGTGTATAGATGATGATGATGATGATGATGATGATGATGATGATGATAGTTTAGGTACATATATTTGTAGTTTGCATTCACTTATCAGAGTTTGACATATTAACTTGCCTTGGAGGTGTAGTAGATAGGTTTGCCTGTCGTCGGGTTACCACACTACCCCGGTCTTTTGAACAGGAATAGAGGTTCATTCCTTGTTTACTGTTCCTTCTAAAGTCTACTTCAACTCTATACACCTAATGTCTTCGATTGAACCCTGAAATTTTATTTGTTAATAAAATCTTGACTTTAAGTCTAGAATTAGCTGTCTATATTCCCTGTTATCTTGCCCATACTTATGCTAATACAACTCCACACATTAACCCTCTGCCTTGAGTGGCCCTTGAGCCTTGTATTGGGTGAATATTAGTAAAAAAAAAAGTCATTTTTTGTTGGGTGGGGGAAAGAAGCTATCAAATATGGCATATAAAATTCTTTAAGTTCTTTTAAATGGCTAAAAATAACAATAGAAATTTCAGTTATCTTACTTAAAGCTACAGCTCTTCAGCATGTAGGAGTTCATGGCCCTCCTCAGATTGTGTCTCTTTAGGCTATGCTAAAGATAGTTTTGCCCAACACTACAAATTGCTACAAAACCCAAACGTTAACCTAAAAACTCAAGTTATGTTCTTAAACAGCCTCATCAGGTCAAGATTTTCATATAGATGCCAGTCATGGTGTTAAAACTGTTCAGAAATATAGAAACTGTCAGCTGTATCGAAATGTCTAGTGGCATAGTACTAAAGAAGCACAAACAAAGAAGTATACCAAATAACAGAAACCACAGCACTTGAGGTATTTCAACAACAGCAGTAACTAAAGTGGATGGTACATGTAATTTTAATAGAAAATAATGGTATTATCTAGATGTTGTACTTCAAACAAAAGCTGAGGAAGGAATCTCATATCAATACTGGAAAAAGTGATAACAGCTACTGAACTTGAGAAACCTATTTTAATGAAAACTTTTTAAGAGTAAAGTTTTAGAAATTTCAGCTGAAAGTAGTATTGAGTGCTCAGTCAATGAATGCCAAATGTTTCCTTATAAAGAAACAGCTAATATTACCATTACCATTAGTTATGAATTACCATGATTTCTTGGGAAAGAGAATGGATTGGTTTCCCATTCATTTTGAATTCAGTGTAGTTTTTCTTCTACAATAGCAGCAATCTTTGACTAAAGATTCCAGTTTGTTTAAAGCTGGGGTTGGGGTGGGGAAGCAACAAAGTAAAAGCCACACACTAAGAATTTTCTGATTCCACTTTTTATCTCAGTAACTGTTACTCTATGAGCAAATTCCTTAAATTTTTCTTATGTTAATACAAAAATCTTCAAAATTTAGTGTCAGATATGAAAAATAGAAAGTTTTGGAACATTGTTTTGACCAATGCTATAAAAAGAAACATAAAAAAAAGACAAAATTAGAAAAAAGGAAAATAAATGGCAAGCTGAAAAACAATTTACATTATTTACATTATTCAGACTATTATCCTCATCTTCATTCCCATATTCACAATGTTTTGGCTGTTGTATGCTACGGCCTTCTTCAGGCAATTAAAATTTCAAACCGAACCCTTTATTTCGTCCACCAGGGTAGATAGCTTTAGTACCACATGCAATGCCTCTTCCATATGTCTCAGTCCTAAACATTGTGAATATGGCAATGAAGATGAGGATAATAGCCCGAATAATGTAAATAATGTAAATAATCATAATACTTCATCTCAGAGATATAGACAGATATTGAAAAACAATGTATTTTCTTTTTGTTCAGGCTTATGGCCATATCATGTTGAAACATTGGTTTCCGTATGATCACTGATAAGTAACATTGAGTCTGGTCTGTACCGAGATGAGTGATCACTTGGGAATACCATGTCTTGTAAGCTTGGACGTGCAGGCGGTGTAATGGATAATGGCTTGGAATTAGAAATCAGCTCTCTAGTTTCCAATCCCAGTTAGGTTCATTATATTCACTTATGCACAGATACTCTTGGTAAAGGCATGAATCCATCTATTCCCCCCCAGCTATTGGTTAATGAGTAAGACTTTTACCATTAAATCATTATTAACTTCAAAAATTTTCTTACAATCTAAAAATATTTTCTGGTTTTAAATAACCTACAAAAATTTCATAAGCCATAGAAACACCAGTTCGTTCCCATACGATCACCGAAGTTAAGCAACATTGAACAAGGTCAGTATCTAGATGGGTGACTGCTTGGGAATACCACATATTGTAAACTTGGATGTGCATCAATAATGGATTAGAACTGGAAATCAGCTCTCCAATTTCCAATTCCACTCAGCTTCATTATATTTACTTATGTGCAGATACCCTTGAGAAATGAATGAATCCCTCTCTTCTCCCTCCAGCTAGGAGTTAATTGTATTACTAAATCATTATTATCTAAAAAAGAAGAAGAAATTCTTATAATCTAAAAAAAGAAAATTTCTGACTTTAAATAAACTGCAAAGGGTTGATAAACCATTAAAGATGAATCAATCAAATCAAATCTTTCTGTCAAATTTCCTTTGCTTTTTAATAAATATATCTGTTTTGATAGCATTGATTAAACTTTGTACTTTCAATAGGATCTTAAAGTACTTCAGTTTTTTCGCTAAGCCAAATGTATGATTGGAAATGCATATACAAAGACATAATCCAATAAACAAATTTGTTAATAATTAAAGAGAGAGTGGGTAATTAATTACACTAAAATGTAAATACATACCAAATTGTAAAGCTTTATTTTAAGCCAAAAATTTTTTTATACAATGTCCCAAATAAATGTAATAATAATTAATAATTGTTCAATATTATCTTCTTTTATTACTTGATATCATTTTCTTTATCATCTTCTTTGTAAGAGGAGAAATCATGGCTCTCCACAATTTTCTCTTGTTTATTGCTCTAAGCCAGTAGTTCTCAAATGATGTGCCTGGATGCACTGGTGCACCCTGGAAGATGTCTAGGTGTACCCTGGCATTCTAGAGAAATATGTGTCTAGATATAAGAAATATATTTACTTTAATTATATTGCTGTACCCGTCTCGTTCATATTTATGTGAATTAGGCTTTTCTGCCCTCACCACAATTAAGTACAAAAAGAGAGGAACTCTTCAATGTATTGAGGAGGCAATGAGAGTTTTCCTATCAAACATTTGGTTCACATTTTAGAGATGAGAGTTGTGAACTTCTCTACCACACACTGTAAACAACATTAGCTTATTTTGGAGGAAGAGAGGCCCTCTTAAGCATTGTGATGGATCATTTTGCATGTCTTATTTTCTATGTTGTTGCAAATTATCCATTTTTCATCACCCATTACAATATAGATGTGTATTGATAATGATATTTTACTATAGAAATGCATGAGAAATCAGGAAGAAAGGGATTATCGACAGTAAATAATTAAAGCAATTATTACTGATAGAATAGGACTATTATATATAATGGCAGTCTGCTCATAGCCGATTATGCCCAAACATTGAAGAAATTGCTAAGACTCATCATGCTCATGTTTCTCATAAACACAAGGATGAATAAACTTAAGGCATGTTTCATTTTATATTTTTTTTTTTGCATTATTTCTTTTCTGCAATATTTGACTTCATTATAACAAAATTTGTATATAGTGCACCTATAATTATTGGTAGGATTTCAAGTGTGCACCAACTTTAAAAGTTTGAGAAGTACTGCTCTAAGTAATATTTAACTCTTTGTCATCTCTCTTCCCCATCAATACTGGAAAATGACTCTACTTGTGAAACCTATTTTCCTGAAAAATTGTTCTGAGGGAAAGATTTTATGAATTTTAACCAACATAAAGTCTAAATGCTTGGTCAATGAATACTTTATAAGGAAATGGACAATATTGCCATTATAATTACAGATGAGGAGAACAGATACTACACTTTGATCCCAGTCCGATGGCCAGGGCATGAGGAAAAGTGTAATGAATAGCATTGTCTACTCGGTCAATGAATGCCAAATGATTCATAATATTACCATTACAATTAAAGATGAGGCGAACAGATACTACACTTTGATCCCAGTCCAATGGCCAGTGAGTGAAGAAAAGTGTAATGAGTAGCACTGGCTACTTGGTCAATGAATGCCGAATGTTTCCCTAGAAGGAAACAGCTAATATTACCATCATGATTACCATTTGTTCCTGTTTTGTCATCAATGCACCAAAACTTATAAAGGACTTACTCTTTCCCTCTACCATTCTTCATTTGGGTGTTAAATTTTTCATGCCATCTTTTCTGATTTTTAGTATTAGTGTCATTCTAACTACAATTTTCTTTAGAACTTCTGTTGAATGAAGATGGAAATAAACACCAAGATAGTCATTCATCAAATGACAAAAAAATGTATTCTGAGTTGGCGGATCCATCTATCCTTGATTAATGAATTAATTCTTTGAAAATAAATATTTAACATTTTTTCCATCAATGGGTCGCATTCCCGTCAACAATAAAAAAAAACATTCTTCACAATTACTTTGAAGAGTATTTAAGTAAAGTCTCTAGATGGATAAAAGTAGTATGGAGATAGAGATCAATACATGCAATATCAATTCACAATGGTGGCTTCAAAGATATTCTCTTACCTGTCTGCTTCACCAAGCTACATGACACTTACACTTTCCTCCTCATTTTCTTCCTTGCCTCTTTTTCTCATACATAAATGCTTCGTGATCTTGTTAAAGAGTATATAAGCAATGTTTCTAGATGAGACAAGCCATTAACGAATGGTTACAGATGGCAATATATGATGCTCATGGCTTGAAAAGGATTCTTTTACTCATTCACCGGCTTCCTCACCAAGCTACATGACACTTACACTTTCCTTCTTACTTTCTCCCTTTGCCTCTCTTTTTCACACATACATGTGAAGAAATCGCATTTCTTTTCATCTTAAACATGAAAATAAAAACATTTTACACTTTTATAAAAGCATTTCTTGACTTTTTCTTTGTTTTGTGGTGATTCAAATCTGCCACACATCTTCACAACAAAACATCCATGGAATTTTGAAGTTTTATCTCTCAAACCACATTTCTGTCATTTAAATCTCTTCTTCATCTGTAAAGAAATTTTTCTGGAAATCAATGGAACATCTAGAATTTGTATTTCTGTTTGAGAGAGAATAGTTTACATTTTCTTTCAATTAAAAAAAAGAAACTATAAAATTGGTTATACCAATGAAATTTAATAATAACCCATCCCTATGATTTAAATTTTAGTTCTTTCAAAAGGTTTTTAAACTCTGAAGAATCAATTACTTAAATATACTTGTAAAATTCTAAAGTTGATCATATATAACAAAGAGGAAAATGGAAAAGAAAGATGTACAAAATACTTTAATATAAAAATAACTTGATTCAGTATTGGCAGGTTAAGAAAAATTCTCCCACAAATCGTCTAACTTCAAACAACAGAAACTCTGATAGTTTTGATGTTTTTGTTTTCCTACTTTGTTTATTTGTCTTCAGGTTAGAACCGTCACAAAGGGAATCTTGTTTTTAGCTAACACAAGACATTGCAAGTCAACTAAAGCCTTTCCCAATTGACTTTGCAGACATCCCAGTGAGACATTTCTACAGACACAACATTCTCACAATTCCATACACTGGCAAACTATGTTATCAGCATAAGCTGCAGGACATAAAAGACCCTCCCCAATTTCACTACTTCCTATGCATTTATTACTTGTGGTGCCATGGAAACCTTCTAGCCATACCATCTCCAATGTGATAGAGGTTTCAGGCAAAATAATTCTAGTGTTACCCAACACAGAGGAGGAAAAACTTATTCCCTTGATTTAAAGTTTAATAACAGATCGCTTTAGCCATGTCAGAGGTGGTTTCTGTCTTCTATAGATTTCTTCAGAGTATTGTCTCTAAGGTGAATAGCCTCAAATAGAAAGACAAGTGTTTAATTACAACACAACAGTAACTGAGTATGGCACTACTCAAATTGACTGGTCCAGTTATAAAAAACAGGAAAACATTTTTGGGGGAATAATTTTTGTAGATAGGCATTTGTTACATCTTTTACCTACAAAATTTGTCAGAATAAAAAAAATATTGATATTTTTATATTAGAAAGGGGGTCCTCTTCATAATATAAATGCAGTATCATATTGATCTTGGCCTTCTTAAAGAGTTATCTGTACTTTGTTTTTATTTACAATTTTTTAGTTCAAAACTATGCTTATATCATTGATAACTGATATATGACTGATTATGTTGTTTTTTCCAATATGTATGCAGTTATCAATGATGTAAGCACAATTTCACATTTGACATCTGTAAATATAAATAAAGTATAGCTAACTATTTACAAAGTCAAGGATCAATTTCACATTTTATTTATATTATGAAAAGGACCCCCTTTTTATGAACCAACTCATCAATTTAAGTAGCACTTTGAATATTTTTAATATGTAAACATAAGTCCATATATTTTATCATTATTTTCTGGGTTGCCTATTCATGTTAAATTTTTTTTTTATTCTTCATTGAAGATTTTCAGTTGAAAATAAATAATTATTTTGATTAAAATCTTTTTTTGATCATTGAAGTATAAAATAATTAGTATTTAAAGTGCTTCTTCAATTTACTTTTTAAATTTTATTTCTATTATTGATATGTTTTCTGTTGACACTGATAGGAAAATAAAATATTTAGTATTTACTTTCTATATGCAACTGATAGATATCTAGGGTGTGTATGGGATATATATATATATATATATATATATATATATATATATATATGATAGATATTTAAGGTGTGTAAGGGAATATACATATATGTATGTTTTTTTCCCATTATCACCTTTCCTAACAGAATCACTACTCTCCCAAGCCAACGTACATAACAAATATATCAAGAAACCAAAAGAAAACGGTTGAATCCTTCAACACAACACAATACAAACAATATTTCTACATGTGAAAATATTCTCTTCAAACATAAAGTAATTGACGTATTTTTTCAATTGACCATATGAATATACAATAGTGTTTCTAAATTCTTCTAGTTGCTAACATTTTCTTTGCTGTTTATGGATATTTTGTTTCAATAAATTCATTCTGTTTTTAGCCTTGAAAAGGTTCACATTGGACAAAACATGTCAGCTAAAACTAGATTTCCCATTGTTTTTTCCTTTATATATATGAGTATGAGATCAAATATAGATCAAATATGGATTGGAATCTGACAGAATGATAAGATAAAGGACAAATAGGAAATGTTTATCATTTTAACAGGTTTCACTTTTATTAAAGTTTCTTGGAACTTTGAATGGACACCTGATCTCCCCATGAATTTGGAATGCTACAAATTATAATAATGTTTATTTAAAAGAGTCAAAAGCACATGATTCATGATTGATCAATGAAAATCAAACAACACAAAAGTAAAAGACCAGAAAGTCTTTTTTTCTTTTTCTCCATGTCAGTTTCTGACGAAAATTGCTGATATCTCCTGAAGTGTGGAAGGACATGTTCATCTACGAAACTCTACAGTCAGGATGCTGAAGGTAACATCAATCAGCTAGAGTCAGGATGCTGAAGGTAACATCAATCAGCAACTGTTACTCATATTAATTCTCTCTCTCTCTCTCTCTATATATATATATATATATATATATATATATATGTTGTTAAATTACAACCCCCTCATGATAATCATAGTTGTTGAGATATTGAATTACTGCCCTTTGATGATAATCACAAGTGGCACCTGATTTGAAAGCCTCTTCCTCTTTTCCCTTTTACTTATGAAGCGACAACACACCTCATCTTGCTCTGACAAACACAAGGATTTTGAAACAGCCTTTTGCCACTCTGTGTCCACACTTTTTATATTTAGACACACACTAGCTTAGATTTTGAGCACTTTTACCCTATAAATATAGCATACCTTAAAATATATTTTATCCCACACACATACACACACACATAAATATATATAAATATATAGAGAGAGATACATATATATATAGATATATCTAATGTTTGGGCATTTTATTAGATTTTGGGTGAAGTAGTCCAGGCTGAGGGCATTTCAGTATGTTTATATATATATTTTTTTAATCAATTCAATCCAAGCAAGGCAGCAGCAGGGTTACTGGAAGGGAAAAAGAAGGAAATGACTCTAAAAAGGAACCAGAAACACAATCCTAAACAACAAACAATGGATAAAATCGTTGTAAAGAAAATTTTAAGAATAAAAAAATAAATAAAAATCAGATAAAACCAGGGACAAAATACTTTGAGAAATTTATTGTTCTAATTTTACAGTTAATTCAGTAGTTAAAAAAAATTACTTTACAATCATTAAGCACAAAAAAAAATTAAAAAAATCAAAGAGAAGGTACAAATATATTCAGTCTGAGCTTAATTCTTCTGCCTATAATAGTTTAATAATATCACTGAGTTTAAAAAAGTGCTAGTACAAAATCACAAGTCATCATGACCGAGGGAATGAGCATACTGACCTTGTTCTAAGTGATAATCATACCAAATACAGAAACTGTAACTAAGGTACACTCATCATAGTTGAAGTATAAAATGCGTGTGGACTCTATTTGTTGAATAAACACAAAATGTGTCTGAGTCAGCATCTACAACAGGGATTAGTGAGCCACCCTTGCAGACAGGCATAATCAGATATGGTTGCCCAGCTATTATAGATAGATAGATAGATAGATAGATAGATAGATAGATAGATAGATAGATAATATTAGTGGTCAATATACATATATATATATATATATATATATATATATATATATATATATACATATATAATATAAATACAAATATATATATATAAATATATATATATATAAATAAATTCCCAAGATGATAGAATTCAGGTAGAACTCAATATCTGGGACAGAGTAAGAATATAATATAAAAGGCTCAAACACTAATATTCCATGGTTCCATAATTTACTGAAGGTTTTTATATTTTTAATGTCTACCAATTTTAGCTTGGAAGTAGTCTGAAGAATTTCTGAACTTAATCTTCTGAATGAAAGGTTCAAGAAGCTTGTTAAAAGGTAGAGTTTTCTGGGATTTCAGGTTATATGTTTCATAATTTAGCTTTTGGTCATCTTTGGGATTTAGGAAGAAAAAAGGTATCCACGTCATTCTTTTAACTAGGTCAATAATTTTATCTGTAAGGTAGACAGAGAAAAGATGCAATGAAGGATAAGGAATGTTTTTCAAAGAATAATCCAGAGTAAATTTTTCCATCTTCATAGGCATAGGTTGAACCACCTGGTATTCCATAACCATGGAATATTAGTGTTTGAGCCTTTTATATATATATATATATATATATATATATATTAGTAGTAATAATCTTTTAATTATAAGAAATTATACTCATCTGGAAAACCTTTCGTTTGCGAATAATCAAACCAATACCAAAGGGAAAAAAAAGTATAAAAAAGTAAGATCAAAGAACATGTACGTCAACCGAAAATAATCGTCTAGGATGCAAGGCTTTAGTCCAAAGAAAAAAAAAACCCGATATGAGTAAGCAAAATAACTAAATAGAGTGCTCAATAAGTTAATTAGAGCAGACCTAATTAAACCTAGGGAGCCAGACAAACCTACCAAGGTTTGACCTAAGTGAATCATCAGGAAGGCTATATATATATATATATATATATATATATATATATATATATATATATATATCTTTAGTGTGTATATATATATATATATTTTTTTATGTATATATATATATATATATATATATTTAGTATATATATACATATTTAGTATATATATATATTTATATATATATATATATATATAGAGAAATATATATATATATATATGTATATATATATATATATATATATATATATATATTTAGTATATATATATACATATTTATATATATATACATATTTAGTATATATATATATATATGTATATATATATATATATATATATATATATATATATATATATATATAGAGAGAGAGATAGAGAGAGTATATATATATATATATATATATATTTAGTATATATATTTATATATATACATATATTTAGTATATACATATATATATATTTAGTACATATATATATATATTTAGTACATATATATATATATTTAGTATATATATATATTTAATATATATATATATTTATATATTTATATATATATATATATATATATGTATATATATATATATATATATGTATATTTAGTGTATATATATATATATATATATATATATATATATATATAGGTATCAAGAAAAAGATTCAAATAAGAAACATGTGGATTGGATATATAGTTATTTGTTTTTATTCATTTTTTCCCTGACTTATCAAATGTTTGCAGATTATTTAAAGCCAGAAAATATTTTTTGATTGTAAGAATATTTTTGATTGGGGACAAAATAACTGGTGAGAAGAGTTGGATTCACATCTTTTCAAAGGATATTTGCATGTAAGTGAATATATTAACCCCATGGGAGTTTGAACTCGGGTCTCCAATTAACAATTCCAAGCCATTATATATTATACCACCTGCACATCCAAGCTTGAAACACCTGGTATTCCCAAGCTGTCACCTACCTAGGTACTGACCAGGCTTGTAGTTGCTTAACTTAGGTGATCATACAAGAACCAGTGTTTCAACATAATGTGACCTTATGGATACATAACAAGAAGGGGAAAGGATAAGAGATGTAATAATGTAGTAGTAAAAGGTTGGTTGGCTGGTTGGTTCTCAATGGATAGTAAATATAGTAAGGAAAGATCAAACAGAAGATGGTTTGGTTTGGTTTATTTTGTTTTATGGCATATTAACCTCAACAGGTTATTTAATGCCAACAACATTTTTTATTGCTGGTAATATTTTTTTTTAGTCAAAAATCTGTTTCTGGTAATATATTTCCTTCAAAACTGTATTGCTGGTAATAATTTTTTAAAAAAAAACTATTGCTGGTAATTGTTAACTCTTTTCCCATAGCTGGGACCCTAACAGGTGCTACCACCCTGGGTCAGGGTGGACCTGGGAACACCAGCAATTAAGAGGTGGTTCCACACTCCTCAAAACCTCCTGATCAGAGGCCTTGCTGCTGTATGTAGTTTGCCATCTTACCCAGGACGCAGATGTAGTTTAATGTCTTACCCAGGACGACAAACAGTGATGAGATAAAGAGTTTTACTGATAAGAGATAGCAAGCAATAGGAAATAACAGTCATCATGCCATGAATTAGAGATGCACTTTATCTTGCATAGAACTCACAATAATAACATACATAGTGAGATGGCAAATTCTGGCCAGAGATGTGGAAATAACAATCTCAGTTGTATTTTAGCACTGACTGCATTTATCATGGTGGATCAATAATCTATAGCCTGGTACATCATTATAAGTTTAATTTTGATCCAAAATGTTCACTGTATAATGTTTGATCTAAGAGTACAGTTACTCTTATTATACCCTTATCTATAATTTAGTATAGAAGATAAGGAAATTTAATAAACCACATCACTTGGGGATTTTCAACAACAGCAACAAGTAAAATGGATAACACATGTAACTCAGTGAGAAAATAATAGCATAATCAAGATTCTGATATTCCACCCTACTTCAAGCAAAAGGTGAGGAAGGAAACTTTCATCAATATTGGAAAGAGTAATAGCAGTTACTGTACTCGGGGAACCTATTTTCCTGAAAAATTGTTTTAATAGAAAGATTTTATAAATTTTAACTTAGAGCTGCACTGACTACTCAATCAATGAATATATTCCTTATAAAGAAACGGTTGATAAGATCACTACCATTACCGTTTTTGGTAGTCTGTTCCAAATACTTTGTGAGTCAGATTTACCTAAGAAATGGTGTCAAATTGTGGAATAGTAATCTGAATTTTAACCTTTAACCTCATTTCATTAATTCTTTAACCAAATGCATCAAGATGGCTTGTGTCTGTCAACTCCTTGAGTCCAGTATGGGGAGAGGTTTGACCAGATGTCTTGAATGTTCAATTACTTGGTTTGATGAGTTTTTCCTTGGTTATTTCTGAGTTCAAATCTAATGGTTTCCAAATGAATAGATTTTCCAAATGCTAGCATCATTTATTGAATAAAATCAATTTTCTAAATTGATTTTTACAGTTTCATGTTTCTCTTGACGAATGAAATAAGAATGGCTTTCTTCAAATCCCTCCTCTATTTATATTACTAGAAAAACAGTTGTCTACTCCAGGTAATTTTGATAGTTCACACTGTCAAACATCTTTGGGGATAAGCCACCCTTTGTCCTATTACATAAAGGGAAGTTGGATAGCAGTAACAAAATCCCTGAGAAATGGTAAGAAAATACTACATATGCAACTGTTTCAAGTGCATTAACAAGGAAGATATCATTGGAAAATAAATATTTGTGCTGTAAAATAAATAATTTTTGCACCATTAAATTTATAGATGAATTTATTTGCTTATGTAAACACAATGTTTATGTATGTAACCATGTTAGATATCATTTTTTTCCTAAAAACCTTATTGTTTAGTACTTTTGCTTGTTACTAAAAGTATTATACTAAGTAACCTATAGTTCAAAACAATTACATACCAAATTATTTTCATTGTATTTTTTAAAAAGGTAACCAAAAATTGATTTGTACTTTGTCTATCAATTCCAGATAAAGTTAGCAGTTTCAAGTCTTGTTGGTCAATTGTTTTTTAGTGCTTTATCAACCTCTATAGGTCATTTAAATATTTTGTTTAGAGATAATAATGGTTTTAGTGATACAAGTCTTACTGATTAACCCATAGCTGGAGGGAGAAGAGATGGATTTTTACCTTTCCCAAGGGTATTTCCACATAAGTGAATATAATGAACCCAACTGGAACTGGAACTTGGTTCTTCATTTATCAATTCTGAACCATTATTCATTACACCATCTGCACATCCAAGCTTACAGCACCTGGTATTTCCAAGCAGTTACCCATCTAGGTATTGACCAGTCTTGACATTGCTTAACTTCAGTGATCATATGGCAACTGATGTTTCAACATGATGCAGCCATATGCTTCTAGTTTTGTGTTTTATTTTCAACAAGATATATGTTTGTAAAAATTAAATGAACAATTCTTGAGTGTTGGGAGGATGTGAAAAACTGGTTTTATCTAGATTATAAAAAAGTCTGGAGTTAGTCTTGCATGTTGGCACTCCCCATTATTAAAATTAGCGCTATACATTCTTCCTACTTCATTTATCTCTAATCTGGTCTCGTATCAGTCTAACTTTAGTATTTAAACTTTCACCTATCAATGAAATTATTACAAATATCAAGCTATATTTTAACCCATTATATATGAATATGTCCGTACATAAAGGGGATCAATAAGTTCATAGCTTGACATATTAACTTTTTTCTTTTACTAAATGTTCACCCAATACAAGATTTAAGAGCCACTCAAAGTAGAAGGTTGATGAGTGAGATTGTTGTTTGGATGTAAGAGGAGAAAGTAAGTGCATATTATGAGGATATGTAGGATAGATAGTAAATTTGAAGAGGTTAATATTGTAGTTATCAGGGAAGCATCCTCTTGGGAGTCTGTTACACAAAGTACCAGTTAGCTGAATTTTTTACCTTATAATGTTCAGATTAGATGATTAATAGAGTAGAAATGGGTTATGTGCATTGACAAGAGGAGAAATTATGTTGACAATTAAGTATTTGTTGTGTAAACTGAATGCTTTATTTCCATCATTAAGCTATGGACTTATTGGCTGACACTGTCCCATGTGTGTGTGTGTGTGTGTGTGTGTGTGTGTGTGCATATTGTTTTTCTGTGTGCAGTGTCTCTTCAGGATGTGGGCAATCATAGCTCTCACCAGCTTCTTTTCCTTTGTACCCCTTAGTAAAGTTTGTCTTTTTGTTATCTCTCCTAATCCCTGTTCTGCCAACCATTTACACATTTCTTAGGAAGATTATTTCCTGCTTTCTTCTGTCCCTCTTGCCTTCATTATGTCCTGTAAGTGTTAAATTTTCCAAGCCTTCTTTATTCATTCTGTTTGATAGAAATTTCAATTATCTCTTTCTGATAATCAGTATAAGTGTCCCTTTTTGTTGCCATTTTCTCTAAAACTTTGTTGTTGCTCACATATTCAGTCCATGTCATTTTTAGCATCCTTCTGTAGAACAACAGTTCTGTTTCCTCAAGTCTCTCCTCCATCTGTAAGGAGATTGTCTAGCATTCACTGTCATATAGGAAGACTGATAACACACAGTGATTTTATACACTTTTCTTTGTTTTTAGTGAAATCATCCTGTTTCTTAATACTTTGTTTAACTTCTTGAAGGCCACTTTTGCTATCCCAGTGCACCTTCACATATAAAAGTTGGATCTTCCATCTGTTAAAACACATCTTAGATATTTTAATTTTTTGCGTTAGTCCTTTCTTCTTGCTTTCTTTACTATCTACTGTAGGAGTTCCTGTAGTTTCCTTTCTGTGTCTGCTTTTAATACTGTATCATTTGCATTCTTATATATAAGGGGGAAATGAAGAAAAGTACTTATCTTGTGGACATATACTACCTCTATACCATAAGAGTTTTAGCATTTGCATTCATATTTAATACACTATGTAAAGGGTGCAGTCACTCATATCTGAGCATATCAATCTACTAGAGAAGCTATCTAATCCCCATTGCAGACGCCTGCTCAGGCACACTTATGTTTCTTTAACACCCGCAGATCCCACATGTGATTTATACAAACTGTAAAACAGATTGTAGTTGCAGTTCCTAAGAGAGAGCATGTTATCTAACATGATCAACAGCCTGAAAAAGGCTAGCACACTCAAACCCTCAGTCACGATGACTTATGACTTCATGCTAGCACAACCACCAATGGCTCCGCAAGGGTTCCATCTACCCAATTTCACTCACAAGTCTTGGGTCAACTCGTGGTATGGTTTTCAGGCACTTTCCAAAGTTGCCACATGCTGGGATCGCCTTCTCTAAACCAATAACATCAAGAAGTCACCATCCTGAAAAATCAACCATGGTGAGATTCAGACCTGTGTCTCATAGCCAGAAAGTGAATGTTCTTACCACTCAGCCACATGCCCATATATTTAAACACTAAAACTCTTATGGAAAAAATATGATTTTTTATTTCCAATCCCTTTCAATTAATTCAAATATTTTTCTTGTTTCTCTGGATGAGATATAAATTCAGAAACATTTTATTCTCAATGTTTTGTACTTTATATATCTTCAGTATTAATTGTGGTTGTCTTAAACTGTCAAAGAATTCAGTATTTTAAATGAGATGTTAGTAGTAACATCATGCTCATTATATTTACTCATCTGTCCCCACACCCAGAATGCTATATATATATATATATATATATATATATATATATATATATATAATTATTTTTTTTAAAAATATGATGCCTTTCCCTACACAAGAGTTCTCATGTTTCGAAAACAAGAGCCAAAAGCTCTGTTTCATCCTCAAGCGAAATTTTTTGGAATAACTAATCTTGAAGTTTATACATCTTTATAAGCATATTCATTTGTAGAATTAATTACTATGGAAACAGCTGAAGTGACCAGACCAATAGGGGGCATAAGGGTTAACCATTTGTATCAACATATCAGTCACCCTCG